TAAACCTAAAACTGTAGCGTTTCTGGAAAATAACATAGGGACAAAACTCGGAGTCCTGACATTTTGCCATATGTATACTATCAAACATAAGTAAATCTGCACAAGAGAGAAGATAAACTACATAACTAGTACCTTCTAAAATTAAGTGTCTATGCGCATCAAAATTCCTTACCCAAAAATTAAAAAGAATTTACAGACTGGGGGGAAAATTGGCACTGACATAGGATGTAATCCCTGAAATACATAGAAAGCGCCAACACATCAAAAAGACAAAAAAAAAATCCAATTCAAAAACTAGACAATGGTCAGATGTAGATACTTCACCAAAGACGATGTTCAGGTAGCCAACAAAAACATGAAGATATGCTCCTTTGGTCAAGGAGATACAAATCAAACCTTCAATGAGATAGTGCCGTACCTCTATAAAAATGACACCTTCTAAAAGAACCAAAACCGAAACAACATGAGATTGTGAGGAAATTGGAACTCATACATTGCTGGTGGGATTATTGTACTAGTCTAGTGCAGTCTATTTGATAGAAAATGTCATGGCACTTCCTTAAACAGAAATAGAAATACCATATGACCCAGAAATCCTAATCCTAGGCGTATATCCTATAAACATAGATCAGTGAAACAAATAGACACAGCTATGTTTATAACAGAATTTTCCACAATAGTGAGATGGAAATAATCTAAGTGACCGAAAGAAATGAAGGATGAACAGCCTGTAGTACATGCACTGTAGTACAAAATGGAAAACGGAATAATGACAAGAATAGTGAAGAAGCCCTGACGCATAGTAGACCACGGGTGAATCTGGAGAACATGATGCTGAGTTCACTGAGTCGGTCACAGAAGGACAAGTACTGTATGAGATTAGTTCTGTAAATTATTAAGAATAGGTGTACATACAGGATCAACATTCTTTATGGGTACCCGGGACAAGAAGAGGAAGAAAGAAAAATCACTTTCTATATAGAACCCTGTTAATCCTGGTGAGGGAAAAGCAATATACAATGTAGGGGAAGTTGACACAATGGGACCACTGTAAATGAAGACACAAAGCGTTACACAGAATAAAGAACAACTGTGCTAAATGTTGGAACCCTGGTGTCACTGGCACTGCACTGCTAACTACAGTTCAAAGCCAGCAGCTTTTTCTTGGGAGAAAATGAGGCAGACTTCTCTCATAAGATTAATAGCTTCAGAAGCCCTATATAGGGCCACTATGAGTCAGAATCAA